ACAAAGCCAATATTTACGGTTCTTGTTTTTAAAACAGCGTTTGACTGTCCCCTTTGGTGTCCACGCGAATCTAGCGTTGCAAAAGCTCGCCTATACAACACGCTAGACGCTCATGTTGCGTGCACACCACTATAGGTAAATAAATAACGAGCGGAGAAGTTCGTGAAGCGGTAGTATTTCACCTGGTTTAATTGCAGTAAAAGAAATTTTTACACGAAAATATTTGCGCGGGCAAACGTGTTTCAAGTTTTGTTCTCGCTTTTTGAAAAATCTGAGCCGCGGTTCGTATCATTTTTCCGATACGTTCGTACCAGGCTACTAGATTGGAAGATCGAAACAATTAGGATAATATTAACGTTGCGTTTTGATTGTGTATTAACAATAACTGCGCCGAAAGTGGATGATAATGGTGTGCGTTAATTAAGCAAAGTTGAAGCAAATATTGAAAGCTCCCTTGTGAGTCGATAGTCACTAATTTATATGTGGAGTTTGCTATGTCTTTTTTCGTTCATTAGTAACAACAAATTTTTATTGAAAAATGAAAGAAAAAGATTAAACAGTTTTTGAAAAATTCTATCTTTGGTTTCATGCGATATTTAAAAATTTTTTGAGAAAAGGGTACGTAAATTTGGCAAAGATCGTTTCGTTTCCTCTTAGCCCTTTCGTTACCAGTGGGACGAATATGTTCCACTTCAGTATTCAAACAAAAATTGATCTCAATGTAGTGTCCATTACAGACAGAAAATTTTTTAAAAGAAATTATTCGGTCACGAAAGGGTTAAAAGAAACCTAACGTTACGAAGTCTTATCAACAATCCTACCAACAAATATCCAAGAATTTCACACCTGAAACCTCGTAACACTCTTCAATTTCAACACAAAAAAATTACATCTTCATCGTATGAGAAGAAGCGACTGGAATATCATCGACTGCCAGCCAAGTCGACGAGAATCTGCAAATTCTCCGTAAAATCCTACTGCTTTGAGCGAATCGTTGCATTCGCCTCAAAGAAAAATTATTTATTTACGAGCTGCTCGATAGAAACGTGCGGTGAATTCGAGTGGTATCACGCATATTGTCGCGACGATATCGCCGTCGTATCGACGGAGGAGGAACGCCGCGAGTGTTTAACCGCGTATGGATTACGGTCGCCTGGCGGATACGTTCGAAGCCGGATGATATTACTATAGAAGCGGTTCGATCGGTTCGCTACTTCCGCCGTAGCGAATGATCGAGTTCCATGCAAATTTCACCGGATTAAAACGGAGAATCTCAATTATCGACGTCGCGAGGAGTGACAGGTGTTGGATTATTGGAATTACCACTGCCTTTTTTCTTTTTTTTTTTTTTTTTTGAAGCTGTGAACGTGTATTTGAATGGAAATTAGCAGTGGGTGATCGAATTACAGTTTGTGTGTTAGAAAACTGTCACTCAGGTTAATTTCACGTATGAAATTTCACCTCGGTGTGGTCTTTTCTATCTGACAAATCGCTGGGAAATAAAAAATAATTCAGAGCGACTGGAAAAATGAAAAGTTTTCTTCGGTTTGAATTTTAGCTACGATAGCCTTTAAGAGTTAACAAGAACGAACGAGGTGTTTTATTGTAGGAAATTTCTTGATATTTGAGGTGAAGTGGTTGATTGTGTTAACGTCTGATTAAGTATGATTGGTTTGAACTGGTACGGAAACTGAGTGGCAACAATTTTACACGTCAGATATTTTCAAGCATTCCTTTTTCAGTATCGCGTTGCTACTAATGTTTTTAGAAAGAAACACGGCGAATCGATAAACTCAATCGAATCTAAACTCCATCAAATTCAAACCTACACAGAAAAAATACAGTTCATCGAACAGCACTATTGTGTTCCGAAGTTACTAGGTTCAAAAAGCACAAAGTCAAAATTCTATCAATAACATCCGTTATATCAATCTAGAAATTTTTGAAACTTCTATCTCACCCGAATTTTCCCCAAAACTAAGCTTCAAACGAAAAACACCGTATTCCCAATTTTTCACTAATTTTCTCACGAGCGTGAGACTTACTCTCAACCGAAATCATCCCCGTGCACTTTCGAGGCGCCGTCGTATCACACCGTTCTCCATGATCAATTTCCCGACAATAGTCGGCGACAAGAAAGCGGTCAAATTCATCGCATTCGAGCGTTTCACGCTGCCACGTTTTATCAGTCCTCTGTCAATAAATATCGTGGATTCCTTGTTTGGTTGCGCCAGGGGTGGCTCATTCGTTACCGGGGCCTTTTATCCTGGGCCAACGAAAGGATGTGGTACGGTAAATAAATCCGACTCATCGCCGGAGAATCTACGGGGCGTGGTGATGGTGGTGGAGGTGGCGGCGGCGGCACACCGGTGTGCAATGGCGTAGCAACGATGCGCCGCCGGTGAAACCAAGGACCGCATTGCGGACGGTGTCGGATAGAACGGTCTCTGGTTTCAATCGAGCGTGCCTTTGCACAGTCGATAGCCGTAACACCGCGTTCTAATAACGCCTCTCGCCTCATCGCGTCGCGGAATCCTTCTTCTCTTCGATGAATTTTTCTTTCCGCCCTTTCTAAGGCCACCCCGCGAGCTTACTGCCTCCCCATTAACCCTTTCGGCGCATCTCCCCTGTCTCTCTCTTTCTCTCTCCTTTTGTTCAATTGCGTCTTCAACCTTGGCTAGATGTTTTTCTGTTTCTCTTCTTTTTCGAGACTGGTACACACTGCTGTTTGCAGGGAGAAAGATGGAGGAAGTTTCAACGAGTTGTGTGTGGGTGAGGGGTGTATTTTTTGGGTATGTAGGTCAAGGACGGATTTTTCAGAGGTTACGAAGTTTTCGGTGGTTCGATAACGAAGTTTGCGGATGCAAGGGTTGGAGAGGTTTTATAAGGGTTATTAACAATTTTAGCGAGGGCTATTTTTAACGATTTCGAGAAGTACACTGGGGAAATTCGTGTAACATCTCAAGTTGCTGGGATTTAATGACACTTTTTTCTTTGTACTAGAGCGTTTCAATTCGACTTGTATTTATAGGTTCTTTCATGTCAAGGGAAGAATTAATTACAGCGATTCATTTATGAATGTTAAGATACGTTTTATGTTTCTCTTAATCAATTTGTATACCTAAAGTTTGTCTCCACATGTGTTGAACATCCCTTGTATACAAGATTCAGAGGCCTGATTCTCCTTCCTTAAAAATGGTCGACGGATATACACATTTCGTTCACAGTATAAAATCACGAGCATTTCGGAAACGTGTAGAAATAATAAACCTTAATTGAGCGAGCAGATGGTGGGCGACACGAGAAACAATAATTAGGGACGTTGCACCGGTAAAGATAGTATCGTTGAGAAGACAAACAGACGTCGGAGGAATCTTAAATTCGCAGTGAAAATCACAGAGGGTGGAAACACGACGAATCTTGTAATTTTACAATTAGCGTAATTTGCATCGTGTTGGACTTTTTTCTGTAAACGTAAAAGTCTTATCTCGACGGGTTCGGCTCGTTATCTTTGGCTTGAATGGGCGACAACCACGGCGTTTCGTTTTCCGATCGTTCACCTTGCACGCTTGCGAAATAATGACATCGAAAACGAGCTACGTGTCGACACGGAGCGTAATGGGTTTCCAAGTCGAACACTCGGTAAAAGTAAAAGAAATTTCATGGTCACTTGGACCTTCGTTCGTCTGTATTTTCTCCACGAAACGGGACTCAACGTGGTTTTTTCACGGTGAATTTCTTCTTCTCAAACGACGATCGAAGGATCGACGATATTTTCTGGCGAATGGCTGCTACTTAAGAGGGACGTTGAACAAGGAAACGATCGAATTTTACAATTTTTTAAGTTCTACAAGTATAGGCACAATTACGAAAGTGGTCCAAGTGACAAATTGAATGTTTCACTTATTTTCATAAAGAAGATTTATATCATAAGAGCAAGTGGTTTGTGAAATATTTTGTTATATAATTAAGAAGCACTTTTTAATATACCCAAATTTCTAAATGTCAAAATAATTTCATTTTGGAAAAACTGAATTAGCGAAGATTAAACAGGTTAAGACACAATAAAGTCAAATCGCTAAAACAACTAAATGATAATAGATCCTTTTCTATCCTCAACAAGTTTAAATACTGCATTTCACACAACTATCTATATTTCCTGCACTTTATTCTATCGTTTCGTCTACCCAACTCTATCACATAATCTAAAAAAATCTAAAAATCTAGAAAAACATGTAGATCCCTGAAAACATTTTTCCCCATTCCCAGCCCGAAACTGTTAACACCATCACTAATCTCGCTAAGACCCCCGAAACGAGGCGAGCCTCTAACTCGAATTTGAATAAATTACAATTTTATCTCATTAGCAAAACACCGCGTGGCGAATTCACAATTCCGCCCGTCCACGTTTAAATTCGCGATTCTCATCTCCGCCATGCTTCCGCCGCGCTCCCCGTTGCCCTTCCGCTTTAATCTGTCCGTGATATTCGATTCACCTGACGGGCCGCGTATTTTTCTTGACTACCTCGAAAACGCCGACAGGGTCGTGCAGAAACTTCGCCAGAGATCTTTCGAAGAATTCAACAGCAGCACCGGCTGGCCGGACCACCTTCTTGCGCTCAGGTCAAAACAATCCAAACTTCTCGCGGCACTTCGAATCTGCCTTGCTCTTCCGCTTTAATCTGTCCGTGATATTCGATTCACCTGACGGGCCGCGTATTTTTCTCGACTACCTCGAAAACGCCGACAGGGTCGTGCAGAAACTTCGCCAGATCTTTCGAAGAATTCAACAGCAGCACCGGCTGGCTGGACCACCTTCTTGCGCTCAGGTCAAAACAATCCAAACTTCTCGCGGCACTTCGAATCTGCTGGGTCTTCAGGAATGTTTCCAGGAGTTGAACTGCTTCGGGTATTCAATTCGTAAATCTTCGACGATCGGCCATCCTCCACCTCCCTCCAATCTCTGCGCTATGCCAAGTATTTTCCGTGTAATTTTACAGGTGACACTGCCGACGGACAAAAACGGAAGAACGGAGAGTTTCACGATCACCAAGGACAACTCGTGTCTGGAGTTGACGACAGATTCCAAGACGAAAGGGCGGCTCGTGGTTCGTGTATGTCGAGACACGGAATTCTGCTGGGCAAACGGCTGTATAAACAAGTGTTGCACAGAGGGCCATTTCCTGAACAGCCGGAATTGTACGAGAAATTACGAGTCCGTGCCGGAGAAGAATCTTTACGAAAACCTAGCGAACATCACCGGCAGATCGTTGAACGCTGCAGGTCAGTCTCGTGACGACGAACGTAACGTTAGATCGAATTAGGGGCAATTTTAGTGACACGATTCGAAGTTGCAAAAATTCTGAAATAAAGGATATGAAATGCTTTTGCTATTCTTTGGTCGACGACGCGAATTTTTCCCTTTACTTTTCATATTAGAATGGTGTTTCTGGTTTCTAATTCTTGTGTTCTTGCTTTTGTTCTCAAGATTACGGGCTGAAGAGTAAACTGAGCTGTCCAAATGCGAAATTTGAGTTGAACTTGCTTGAAATAAAGAATATAACGGTTGAAGGATACATTCAACTGGCTTACGATGCCGACGATTTGAAACACAACCAGTACTGCATAGACGTATCCAGAAACGGCACAGGATTCGAAACTCTAAGTGCTTTCGTCTGTTTCCCGGAAGAAGTGCAAAATATTACCAGGTGAGTTGCGTGTCTTCTTAATCGTTTGATAATTACACGTGAAATTGTTTCTATACTCCAATAGATTTCAAATAAAATATATGTACAAAGTATGATTTTTCATCTTGAAATTTTTCGCAACTCGTGAAATCTAAGATCGAGTTAATAAACTTGAAATTTTATATTCTACAGATTTCTTCCTTGGATTAATTTGTTCACAGATTTTTACCATTTTCTTTCACTGGAATTTTGGAATTTAGCAATTCAAAAAATGAAACATTTGTCCTTCTTTCTCGTACTTCAGGAATGTTCAGCCTTAGAGAGAATTGTCACAAGGAAAATGCGACGTTTTCTTCCGATTCGCGTAGCACAAAATTCCCTCGTCACGTTTATCTTTCACATTTATTTACTCGGTTCAAGCTTTGTAAGCGTTTCGTATTCCATTATCTTCCGCGCGTTGTTGAAGAATACGCGACGCAACAGTAAAAATGATCTTCATTAATCTTCGCGCTTAAGCTATTAATATCACGAGCGTGCTTTGCAAGAAAAATATCGAAACTCTCCTAGAAATACGTTTCTTTCAAATTCTAATCTCATCGTAGTGTCGCAATAATTCCAGAACGTAAACACACACACAGAGATACAAACATTTCTAACAAATTTTCTACTCTCGTTAGTAAGAGGGAAGAAAAAAAAAAAGAAAAAGAAAAGTTCCACTGTTTCAAATTTGTTCCAAAAATATCACGTTTCTATTAAACCAACTTGGGCGAAAAATCCTACGCTCTACTTCATTTTTCCCTGCAATACGCAATTTTTTCCCTGTGCAGCCCTTTTTACGGTGTGCTTGAAATCTGACCTCGATGGATCTTCGTTTCGATAAAAACGTTCTATCGATTATTAACTGTACGCGGGGCGACTGTTCGATCTCGAAAAACGAAAATATGAAAGAGCGAAATGAGAGAGAGAGAGAGAGAGAGAGAAAAAAGGGCCTGCGTCGAATTCGATGCCCGTTCGCTTTTGCCGTGTCTTTCGCTCGCATCAATCCGCCGCTCGTTTGAAACTTTTAAGCCGATGGATGGCCGCCATTTATTGCCCGAACCCGTTTGTTTGACTTTACAAAGTTTAAACAAGTAAAGCCAGTCGAGATTCGCGAAATCCAATAGAAGCCGGCTTCGAAACTTCCGCGCTCGTCCCTCTCGCTGTTTTTCGCTGCGTGTGCGTCGCTCCCCACGGTCAACGACTAACTTCCAAGCAAATTTTTAATGCTTTCATGCGACATTCGTCCCGTTGTTTATACCAAGGCTAATCCCTGTTGAACTTTTACCTGCCGCTTCGGGCAAGTCAAGTTCGAGTACCGAGAATCGTGAATAATCGGAATTAGAAGAAGTCGTTTGGTTTTTCTTCCTGGAACCGTCGGTGATACAAGTGAATTGTGTAGCTGGAACGAGAGGATTGAAGAACTTTGAGTTGAGGAAACGATACGTCTGTTGATCAATTTTGTAAATTTTATTGCAACGAGAGAGGATTTCACGAATTAAACGCGGGGGAATTGTTTGAAGTTTCTCTTCGTCGTGATATCATTAAGAGATTGACGCTTTTACGTTTCGTTTTGGGTAAAAATAGTAGATGAGGATAATTGAAAAAGAAATGTTTAAGAGGTGTTTAAATATTTTTAATGAAATTATATTTCAGCATTCCATCGGCGAATTCCCTCAATTGCTCAATTACAAAATCAAACACATCAGACAGATCAGAAAGGCGTTAAAAATTTAAAAAACTCCACTACTTGAAAGATACAACCAAATTCAGGGAGTAAAAAAAAATATTTGAAAAGTTGCTCAATTTCAGAATAATTCGGACATCAGCATAGATCGAAAGAAGCTTTAAAATTATTTTAAACAGGACCACTTTACCATGGAATAACTTTTGTTAATCAAATTTTATCACTCTAATTCAGGTGTACTTTCTTTCTCAAATCTCGTATAAGTACTTGTCACACCACGATTAAGAATCCAGACAGAATAATTCTTTTCAACATCTTAAGAATCTTCTAATACCCGTTTAAGTCTGCTTCAAATTCAATAAGTGTCCCGATACACCTGAAGAGGAATGTACGTCCGAACCAAAATTTTTCTTCCGCTTGCTGCACGACTATCCCCTACTCAATCGAGTTATTCGATTTACTACCGAGCTCTTTCTACCTCTAATGTGTATCTAAAGCACGGTTGTCACGGGGATATCCCCGAGACTATAGATATATAAAAGGCTGGACTGTTCTCGATGCTGGTCAACCGTTCAAACCGGAAACCAGCATCTTTCGCGACAGCGCATATTGTGCCTGCATCAATGCCAGATAGCCAAGTTGTTTGCCAGTGATGCGGACAATGTGTACAGTCGTATATCTTCAAGCAGAAGAATAAATAACAATGGTACAAGTCCATTTGCCTGATGAACAGAAGAAGGGCCATTCACCGAGACAAGTCGTAACGAAGTGGCATTCGTGTTCGTTCATTTGCCTCCTGTATACCATACATGTGTATTTCTTTCTTTCTTTTTTTTTCTTCTTTTTAGATTTTTCCACGATTTTTCGTGGACGTCGATAGTTCGATTTTTACTACGAATATCAGCCCTTAAGTAATTAAAAATATTTTAGTTCTGATTAATTGAGAAACATTTTCTTCTGGTTTCTCTTCGCTTTTCCAATGCGATGTCTTGCTATTAAAATAGTAATGTAAATTTTTTTAAAACAAACTGACGTTTGTTTAATAAATGGTATTTACGTTTTTATGGTTTCTGAAGTTTGATGAATTTAGGGATCGCTGAATCTTGGAATGTGAAAACTTGTTCTCGTTTCAGGAGCGAGTGCAAATATTTGGCAGAAATTGTGCACTGATAAGTATTTAACTTTCCTAACGAAATTTATGCTTCGTTTAAGAATGATGTTAAAATCATAGCACAGTCTATTTAGTCTCTAATAATACTTTTTTATCGTACATGGTACACGATATCTCGTGTGCACAGCACATTGTAGCCTACAGAAACAAGAATCTAAATTACTTGCAATTACCTTCGAAACGCAAATTATGCTCGACGGGATTCCACGAATTGGCATGAATTTCCTCTGATTATGAAAGAATTCTCTGTTATATAGTTTCATGCAGAACGAACGAAAATGGTTGGTCAAAACTGTGGACAGAATTTCCACGTGCAAAATCAAGGAAAAATGTTCATTTTAACCTGGAGAATTTTTCTGCCTGTAAAGTCCAATTTTCCTTCAAAGAAAGTTTTCCCCGAACGTCCCGTTGAAAAAATTCGAAAAACTTGAAACTGGATTTTTTTTATCGAAGTCATCGAACGACTACGTTTTTATTTTCGCAGTTTCAGCAGCATTAAACTGCAAATCGGGATATTCTCGCGACTGCGACACTTTCTTTAATTTCGCCTTGAATTAAGATCGACCGGTGTTAACGAGGCTGTTAATGCCGGCGTAACTCAGTCGGTATGAGTCGATTTATATTCGCGATAATGAGAGAATACTCCCTCTTTCTGTACGTTCTTCGACCAAGAGATCAAATTCATGTCGCCGAATGGAAATTTCACGTTCACGACCTTCCACCGTCCAGAAGCAATCCGTTTTATCAAAAGTACGGCGCCCTTTCTATCGAATCAGCCATACTAAACGCCGCGATGAAATTTATGAAGGAAGCGTGAACCGACAATGAGTCACGGTCTTAATTAGCGGATTGTGGAGGATAATAGGCTATGTAAAGCTGCGCATAATGGGCTGTGGGAATTTTCTTTTTTTTTTTTGCTTTGTCTTTGGTGAACTAGTAGGTGCAAAAGTTATATCCTTTTCCTCTTCCTCCTCCTCTCCTCCTCTTCCTCCTCCTCTCCTCCTCTTCCTCCTCTTCCTCCTCTACCTACCTGGTAGGAAGGAAAAATTGTACCGTGAAAAATGAAGGTCGTTTAATTGAATTTTCATTCGTTCGGAATTTTCGTTGTTGCGGTAATCTACTGTCGTTGCGTATTGCTCCAAGTGGATAAATAGGATCGGAGAATTGTTCATATTTCTGTGGTAATTGTGTGGTATTTCAAACGATTGTTTCCTTCAGAATTCGAATCAATTCGTGGCAAATTCAACCACGTACATTTGTAAGTAGACGAAAGAGGATGCGAAGAATTTTTTAAATAGGCATTTGATGTTATCGTGGATCAAAATTTTTAGCAATAATTACGTGGTATTTCCAAAGATTATTCTACGAGTCATTTTTCTGTGTTCCCTTCAAAATTGGAATCAATTCGTGACAAATTCTTGTAAGCAGACGAAGGAATATTTCAAATAGCCATTTGGATGAGTTCGAGGCAGTCTGATCTATTTACGTTCAAAGCGAAGTCTTGCGAGGAAAACGACAAGTGTCTGGTATAAATAATCACGTCAAGTCTGATCGAGTAACGAATACTTCTAAACATGTTCCAAGAATGCATTGAGAAATGATACGTAAGAAAGCATTGTTCTGTTGCTGCATCTTCGAGGAAATTTCCCTATGAGTCTTTACGAAATTTGGCTAATATAAATTTCAAGGCTACCTAAATAGTACATATATTTTCTTTTGTCAAAATATGAAAAATTCTTGGAATAAAAATCATTTTTGCTGCAACTGCAAAAATTGATTTCGAATCAATCTCCAAATGTGTTAACGATGCTATTTAACGCTAATGAAGTTAATTGAGACAATGCAAAGCATTTCGCAAAAATATGAAATTTGGAAAAATTTGAGAAAAAATATTGTACAGTATTTTTTAATTATTTGTTCTCTTCACTGATTTCAGATTCATAATTACCAGCATCCTGACAGGAATCAGCTGTGTTTTCCTGCTGTTGACGTTAATTGTTTACGCTTGCTTACCCTCGCTTCAAAATTTGCACGGTAAAACACTGATGTGCCACGCTGCCAGTCTTTTCCTGGCTTACCTCTGCCTTTGCATGGTATCTTGGCTATCACCGTCCAAGACCATGATGGAAAATGGATACGAGAACTTGTTCTGCTCGGCACTGGGTATGTTCTTTCTCTATGCATAGATCTTCCAACGAAATGAAATCGCACGTATTAATTAGCTACGAATGAGAAACGCGTCTATATCTACATAGAAATTTTCTATTTTAGAATTCGCTTATTTTACTTTGCAAAGTACTCAAAGCTAAAACACTCACACCTCAGAGCATCTCTTAACTTATTTTATCTTGCAACATACTTTAACTGTATATAACTGTTACCCGCTGTCTACTATTCTAATCGTGAAGTTTAGGACAGCGGGTATGCGTAGTTCTTAGCTTAGTATCCCTTTCCAAAATTGAGAATTTTGGAAAACGATACCAATTTCCAGGTCCCACCGCGAGGAGGTGACTACGCAAGGGACCCGACAAAAACACATTCCCTACTGGCAGCTCTCTTATCTTTTCATTTTCAGTCGCAACGCTAATTATTTTCTCATTCTGAATGTAATATCGAAAGATTCGAAAGATCTTACGTTCTCCCTCAGCGGAGTATTGAAAAAGTATACATCGCGGTTAGGTAAGATTCAGACACATTCGCGACGCGATTGAAACGACAGATCCGCGATCATTGAAGAGAACCAACGAGCCTAAACGACGTGCCCACGAGTAGCGCGCGATACTCCTGGACGAGTACGTCTTGAAAAAGCTCGAAGGAACTGAATGATAGAGAATCGATTTTCGCGAGAACATTATTGTCCTATGTTTGAAATTGACGATAGTGAAAAGTAGACAGTGTTTTATTAATTATGCTACGAATGAGACGCGTATCTCTGTAAGAGAGCGCGCACATGGTTGTACAATTTTCTATCTTAGAATTGACTTATTTTATCTTATGAACTACTTAAAGTTGAGATTATCGCTCGCTTTATATCACACGCACACAGTAATTTTTTAAATTTACCTACACAGTTCAATTTCTTCCTTCAAAATTGCAAAATTCGTCAATTTGCATTATTCCTTTATATCTGATAGTTTTTATTAGATATATAAAATCAAAACGTATTATTAAAACATATTTTTATTATTTATATTTCATTACGTACATGAAATCGTAACAATGAAGTTCTGTAAGAAAAGTAAATTATAAAATGGAATAGGAGAATAAATTATTAGGATATCTATATTATTTGTCGATATTCAGAAGGAGTGTATTGGAATTCGTAGTAATTTATCGAATTTATATTTAAACCTCTGATAATGAAACTCATAGCTGAACTCGTGGAAAAATTCTTTTTCGGATAGGAGAGAATTGAGCTCGTATATGAGCTCAAAATATTCATCCAAAAAATATTGAATTAATCATCGAAAAAACATACAACTCACTAGATATAGACTACACAGATGAAAATTGTCAAATAGATTTTGTTCCTACCCCTGAATCATTTCAGTATTCTCGATACTCTTTATCTTATCAGTATTTGCAACAACAAGTTTAGAGAACTGATCTTTACGATCAAAAACGTCCAGACAATTTATTTTCATTTTATTTAGCAAGGAAAGCTGCAAATTTATGTCATTTATTAAAAATTTCGATGGCATACTCGTCAGAAATTACGAGAAAAGTATCAAACGAAAGCAGCAATTGAAATCGCTATTATCAAACGCAATGTGACAATTTTATTATTTCTGTGGGAATAGAAAAATGATTAATTGGGATATTTTCTGCAAAAATAAAATATAAATTTGATTAAAAGGATAAACAATTGATTCGACTCACCATTCGTAGATCTCATATCTGGCCACTGTTTCATCCTCTCAGATCTATCAAGCCTTTGGAATTCCCTCAATGACCCATTTCAGTCCTTCCGCCTTGAATTTTCGCCCACAACTGACCATTGCAATTTGGATTTCGAGGCTCCTCTCAACCCACGAAACTTTCAGAATTGCCTCGGCGAGCCATTCGAGTCCACCAGTGTCCACAATCCCAGATTTTCAGACCCAATGACCAAGACCCACCAGACTTAGGAAGCTGTGGAAGTGTCGCGCGAAATTGTGTACGAATCGCGATTTCTTTCAAGTGTAGTTTAATTCGTTGAATTTTATTTAGACCCGAAACCGCGAATTTTTATCGTCCTCCATTTCATCATGTAGTCCATTTCAGATGGGGTATTTAGCAAAAGTTTAGTGGCAATGTCAACTAAACGCGCTCAAAAAAACAAAAAAGAAAAGCAAGAACCGAAAAAGGGATGAAGCTATTATTTAAACGCGACGCGATGTAATAAATTCTCAAATCGATCGAAAATAATGGGTAGACACTTGTTACGAAAATTGACTCTAAACTGAATTAACGCGGTATACTATTGGGATATTCTAATAATGGGAGGGCGTTTGCACCGAGTAGTGCAGTAGAGTTCGGATGTGAACTCACATCCATCGAGTTCTTCCTTTAGCTCTTGGTAGTTCAGCTTCAGCCATGCACATGCACACATATATAACCAATCACCAAACCCTCAAAAAATTCACTCACAATTCGCAGATTAGGCAGCTGGGCTCTGCAACGTGGACTTTGGCTGCATTGCTTCCTTCCTTCCTTCCTTCCTCTCAGATCGTCGTCCTACAGTCCATCATTCCAGTTCCAGTTTATTTTCCAAGACTCACAGACTTACAAAGTGTGAGTCACTGTGGAATGGACGACGCGAAAAGTATTTCGAAACGCGATTTTTTAGAGAGGGAGAAACCGCGAATTTATGTTATTTGAAATTTGACTAAACTTTCATAGAACGCGAATGAAAAATTGAAAGAAGTATCAAATAAACGCGGTATACAAATTGAATAAAAAGAAAATTGGGAGGAAGTATCATATAAACGCGGAAAAAGAATGAAACATAAATCGAACAAGGGATGAAGCTATTATAATATGCAACGACACTAGTACTTATGAGAATTGCAAAATATATATTCGAAAAATCGATTATTTATTGCGAAACACTAGTGAGACGGTTTAATTGGGGGCAGTTCAAGAGACAGTACACAACTAACTACCCAAATCGCCAGAAAAAAACCCATTTTTGTCACTCACCCACTCACCATTCACAAATTAGGCAGCTGGGCTCTGGCAACGTGGATTTTGGCTGCATTTCCTTCCTTCCTTCCTTCCACTCAGATCGTCATCCTTCCTTCCTTCCTCTCAGATCGTCATCCTTCCTTCCTTCCTCTCAGATCGTCATCCTTCCTTCCTTCCTCTCAGATCGTCATCCTTCCTTCCTTCCTCTCAGAT